GATTTCTGGTGTGATTGGTGGGGTATATGAAAACGTCATATAAAACGCGGCCCTACATATATTTCTCATATTAGAAAACTAATAACATAGATTGTATAAGGTAAATAAAGTGGAACATGTATACCTGAGCGGTCAAAAAAGCAGAATATAATCCCTCCACGCTTTTTGAATCCGGGAGGATATTAGTCGTGATACCGTTCAAAAACTTGGTCGCATCGAGACCTTGAATCGAAATCAACTTGCGAGATTCGGAGAGCTTGAAAGTGCGGGTTTCGGCGGGTGGTGCGGACGGTAAGGCGGCCTTCTGCTGCGTAGGAACAGCATCATGAAGGGATGGAGATGTTGATATCGACCGTTTCTGTAGGCATGAGCGGCAGATGTAATTAAATCGACTGGATATCGTTCGGCGCGACATGTCGGGTGGGTTCGATTGGTGGACTGAATTAATGGTTTGAGAAATTTGGAGAGACAGGACAACACAGGTTGGATGATTTATCAGCAAAAATACCACAAACAGTCTAGACCGCTAGATCAAGTCTTCTTACGTCAAAGGGGTATGAGTTATATGAGAATTAGACTATAGCATTATTATTATCGCGTTCGTTATACCAGCTACTTGACAAGTTCGACACCATGAAAACAGGCAATTCAATGGAAAACAAACGAAGAAACAAGCATGCGGTTAAAAGTTAAAATGTGCTCGATTTCAAAAGGCTTTTGTATGAATTCAATGAGAGAAGAGTTTTTTCATGGAAATAAAGAGTCCATGTCATTAAGAAAAAAGACTACACCAGGCCAATATTGCTGGGTAGTTGAGGGATACAAATGGTTGTGTGGTCGAATAAAAAGGAAAGGATTAAACGCGCTAACATATGGACTGAAAACCTCAAACGAGGAATGTTATAAGGTTCACCTTACAATAACAAAAGAAAATCGTATCCATACTAGACATAATGCCGATCTATAAACTAGTGTCCCAAAGCGGTGCGGACGTTGTTTCCAAGCATTTGATTGGGATCACCGGGCTTGGTAGTTTCCGGGAGTTGCGCATATGGGCCGGTGTGAGTAGCACCAGCAGTTTGGCCAACTGGACTAACGCCAGTCTCATAGTTGCTTGGAGCAGTAAAAGCAGGTGGATTGCTAACGGGAGGGACACCGAAATTGACAGGAGGAGGGGCATATTGAGCACCGAGGTTAGGTGGAGGTGCAAAGCCGGAACCCTGAGGAGCGAAAGCAGTACCATCGAAATTCATACCAGTAGTATCAAATGCCATTCCAGAGTCACGCTGGGCGCGCAGTTGTGCTCTGCCGGTATTGTGTGGCTTGCGGGTGATGTCTACAGGCTTTGGAAGATTGGTAGACTCCTTTGCGGACCCAATGCTGAAAACGGGTGACTCCCAACGTTCGCCGTCACGAGCCATATTCTTGTATTTCGTGGCTGCGGTTGAAGTTCCGGAAGGAAGTTTAATATCCTTGAAGATGGAATCCTCGGTTGTCATTGCGATATTTGCCTTCTTGTCGGCGGCGATCTCTTCAGCCTTTTCTTTCTTTTGTGTGAATTCATGTTGGGCGGCAGACCAGTAACGTTGGAAGATATTTCTTGCATTCTCTGGGTCTGGGTTCTCCTTCATGTCTTGCTCAACTCTGTCAACTTCCGTCTTGATTGCATAGAGTTTGCGATCAAACTCTGCGAAGGATGATTTGATTTGCTTTTCAAGGACCTTTTGCAAGGCTGGACGAACGAGTCTCAAAAGCAAAGGCTTGAAAAGGGCGAAAAGCAACTTGTGCTTGCTCTGCTTGAGTTTGATGTTCATATGCTTGAAGCTGACATCAACCTTGTCAACCTGGAAAAAGTTGGCACGATCGTGTTTCTCAGCACTCGACATCTTAAGGGTGAAGCTGAAACCTTCACCTCCAAGGAAAATGTCCATCAAACCGGTATCAGTGAGAGCTGGGAATCCCTGCTTCTTCTTAATGTAAAAGCTGACATCCTTGAGATCGCACTGAACCCCGGAAACAGAGAGCTTGACATTTTGCTTGTTCTGGCTGGTGATATTCTTACGTCCCCAGCGGAAGAACGAATCATTGCCGAGTTCCAAGACATTTGGCATCAAGTTGTCACCCTCGATGATCAAATTCTCGATGATAACATCAACTTGGCTGTCGGTGTACTCGATACGAGGTACTGGGACGTAGCGGACAGTTTGGAAGAAGCCGGGGATGATGACGGTGGTAACGTCAGTCAAAAGATGCTTCTTAAAGACGGCCTTGCCATTCTCGTCCTTGCCGAGATCGTTCAACAACTTTGTGAGAGAGTTGGCGAATCGAGCGTTCTGGGGGTCTTGAGCGAATTGGTCGCCTAAGAACTTGAACTCGTCGACGACACGGTCTGTATGGTTGCGATATCGCTCACGGAGAAGGAAGCGACCGCGGTCGTAAAGATTGTTGTATTCATCGTTGGCGAAGTCGCTAAGGATATATCCTTGAATCTTCAGGCATTTGCGGATATAGACATCGACTTCCTTGAACCAGTTCTTCAACTGAGGATCCTGATCAGCATCACCATAAACGTCGTTAATAGCATCGAAGAGGTCATCGGCCGAAGTGTTGTTGGCAAATCGTTCGAGAATGGTACGGAGCAAGTTTTCCGAGGTCTTGAGATGATTATCCTCACGAACGGCTCCAACCGATTGGTTCGTTTGCTGTCCGACGGCTCTGGTGTGTCCTGCATAGGTTTCGGCGAGATACAAGAGAGTATCAATAGCTTGTTGATAGTCCTCATGTCCTTGGATTTCAACAACCATCTTTTTGAGGCGGTATATGGTTTGGTCGCGACGTTCCTGTGGCATCTTTCCCTTAAGATAGTCTTGAGCTCGTCTCTTGTATTCGTCCGTCTTCTCATTGGTCTTCTTCTTGTTCTCTTCAATCTTTCCTTCATCCTTATTGGCATCTAAATGGTTGATGGCAGCATTGAGGCCACCGCGGGCGTCAATTCCAGCTGGAGCTCCCTGCTGACGCTCTTCAGCAGCGACTTGGCCAAGGGCTCGAGGATCTCTAGATCCTTCCGGGTGGGCAGCAGCTGTTGCTTCTCCTACGGCCTCCTGGACGGTTTCGGTATTAACTGGGGCGTTTCTGTTAAAGGCACCCTTTGCACGATCTTTCATCGCATCGCGTGAGAGGTTTGGAGCTTCATGCCAGGTATTCTCCTCTGCAGGGTGGTCGATTTGGGAAAGCTGATCTTGGGATGGCTGTAACTTTCCTCCTGCTTTCTGAGCGGCATCAGAAGCGATATCTCGAAGCATGATACCAGCATCGTTGACTAAATTGAGGTTGATTAGTAGTTATAAGAGGCAAAATATCTATTGGATGACTTACGAAGTTTTCTGAATTGCCCATTGGTGATAATTAAGGTTCCGAGGGCTCTCAATCCAGCCAAGGCATTTTGGCCATCTTGCTTCGCCTGATCCTTAGTCACAGGGGCATTCGGACTCGGTCCACTCGTTGTCTGCGCAGCTTGTTGAGCGTGCCAGATGAACTCTTGAATGGCTTGGTCGTGATTCTTGGTGAGCAAGAGGAGCTTGGCCTCGTTGATGACGTTTCTGAGGTCGTCGACTAAACCCTTTCCTTCATCTGAAAGTTTGTCGCTCGGGGAGGTGAGAGTTTTCGACTCTAGGACGCTATTGAGCGCAATATCTATCTGCTTGTTTGAGGGAACCTTGCCACTAGCGAAGGCATTGTAGATTCCGAATAGCCTGAGTTTGTTTTCAATGTCGGCGTCTCTGGCCGTTGGGTCTACAGGACGATTCACCGACATGATGAAACGATTGTAAGGGGTGTGATGTAATTAGTTTTTACAGGTTTTGCTCTTTGAAAATGGTATCGATGGGATGGTTGTTGGTGATGGAGAAGGTGGAAAGTGGGCGAGAGTGCGATGGACCGCGATGTTGTATTGTTAGTTTCGTAATTGATATGTTCAACGCAGGTGATATATCGTCTTTCTAGTATCGACTAAATTATGTGTCGATATCGGTTGATGGATTGATTGATTGATTGATTGATTGTTGAAAGAAAAAGTAGATCAACAAATACATATCAGATACGGACAAGAGCCCGCTATTATATATATAAGGTCACATAGAAACTCGGGCTTTCCCTGCTTTTCGCACTGGAACGTTCCAGTGGTTGTTATGAGATATTGGTGACGAAACACCCTCAGCGCAGACACCAACAGACCGACTAGCTAACCCGACTATCGAATGGTCGCAAATGTAACCGCCACCCGATGCGACAGATCGGATATTCACAGACATGCGACGTGCACATTCATCCTCTCTCCCACCGATCTCTGATCTCCATTGCGCAGGACGATTGAGAGCGAGAACTCGAACGAGCCCTCGGAATGTCCCGACGACACGTGCGTGTTACATGATAAACTGCAACAATCTCTAACGTCGCGATTATGTCATGTCGCGGACCTCGCAAGACTCAGAAATTTATCTCTCTTGGAAACCAGCGCCGAAAATGTAAATTGGTTGGGAGGAGGGGGGTTGGGCCAGCTTGGAATTTGGTCTGGATTTCTGGCCATGGCAAACAATCCTGGATCCGCATACTCGAGCACATATCGCGACGCGTCAGAAGACCCTCCCTTCCAATGCTTTTTTCGATTCGATCGATTGTCGCCGTTGCCTTTGTCGTCATAGCGGTTGTGCGCAAAGAACCAAAACGTCATTGTGACATGCGACATCGTTTGGTGTTGCCGGGTGCCCTTGTCTCTGTGCCGTTTCCAGAAATCCAACACCCAACCCATCCAAAACATTCGACAAAAATGTCCAGAATCTAGCTCAAATGGCTAAGCAAGTCTATGTCAATTATTTCCATACAAACCGCGAACTCGTCAGCCTTGTCAACGTCAGTTACAGACACTCCACAAACCGTCGCTGTCCAAAAAAGACAAAAATAGTATAAATTTTCGCACATGCAAAAATCAAAAAATGAAGTCAGGCGCTTACCAGGGCTCGAACCTGGGACCTCTCGCAGATTGGATCGACATGCGATCACCCTAAGCGAGAATTATACCACTAAACCATAAGCGCTTGATATTGACACCGTTGATTAAATTCATTATAAAATAACCAGACCGCTCAGCGTAAGCTAAAGTCACATTTTATTCTAAAGAAACGACCCGCATTGTGATTGTAGAATTGGTTAAATGCTGTTTTATTTAAGCTGCAGAACTTGAAAGATCAAGCCTAGTATTTATGTACTATTTATCTAAGAATATTTTGTACAACATGATGCTGGCACCCGTTTATGTTAAGATGTATGTAGCGATCCGTATCTCACCTGGGGAAGGAAATCAAGGCATAACGGGATGCAGCAACCCTTTGATTCGAGATCCAACAAAGTCAACACAGATGACCAGGCTTTATATGAAATAAGGGGAGCTGCTCAATGCAAGAGTTAGTGTATATAGAGGCAGTACATCCTATGAACCGTTATTTGGTATAATATGCATGGTTGGGTATAATAATTACAAGGGGGAATCTATAATAATACTTCGATACGTGACTTGCTGCTAGCCACTGCTGACCAGTCCAGGCACGCCATGAGGCTAAAAGCCTCTATAACAGCCAGCTAATTCTGCTCACGAGACAGTCCCTGTGATAGTCTCGTCCTAGGCCTCATAATAAGCCCACATTAATTCCATATTCACTTGCCACGAATAACATTTACCACCCCACCTCAACGCCACTGCCGCGGTACATACCGCTGTTCATCATCCATCCCTAACGCCCCCATTCTCCTTCTCCTAGGAGGGTACACAAACTCTGGAAAATGATACCCCCACCCTTCCAACCTCCAATCATCCCACACACAATCCTTAACCTTCACCTGCGCCATCGTCGTCCAATTCGTTTCCCTCGACGAACCCCTCTCCTCATACTTCACAACCTCCAACGTCCCATTCCTCCCATCGACCAACCTCCTCGCAGGGGGCGTGCAGAACCGGTCTTGATTCTGGTGTACTGAATTCTCCTTATTCCATGCCGTTCGGATCACGCTTCGTATCCGCTCTTCGCATTTCGATATCAGATTTGTTCGAGCGGTGACGGCGGACGAGGTTCCAATTGTGAAGATTCGTTTCGAGTCTTCGTCTGTTGTTACCAGGTTTATCAAGAACTCTTTAGCTCTCTTCTCATCGCCGTGACATTCGAGGAGTTGGATGTGTTTGTCTAGGTTCCAATTACCCCCCGTGAATGCGAAATCTATCAGATCTAGAGGAGAGCTGATGTAGTATCTCCCTACACCGGTAAAAAACTCTAGTTAGCCAAAACTCACCTTCAACAATACGATGCAATTGTATACAACATCGCTAAGTGAGGAAGGGTGTCTTACGATTCTCCTCCTTGATAACCCATCTCTGCCCAACAGCCGAAAACCCTCCCTCGGAAGCCAAATCGATAACTTGAACCGGAATCTCCTTCCACAAAACCTCTAAAATAGTACCCACCTCCTTCGTCTCCCAAAACTCCCACGCCGTCGTAAGATTGATATATAATTTCCGGTCAACGCCTGGTACCCCTGAATTACCATCATCGGAAGCACCCAGCATGGCGAACAACCTCGTGATCACAACCAACCATGCGTTGTAAACCGCTTTTATAACCCTCCGTCTCTCATCTGCTGTCGGTGGGCGACATTTCTGAGTCGCCGTCTCGGTCTGCTGGTGCTTATCCAGTTGATATTTCATAAAGATCTGTGCTAGTCGTTCGATCCTGGTATGGATATATTTCATCTGCGTGGCGGTCTGTTCGCTGATGGACTGCATCACCCTTATATTCACCAACCTCTCACTGTCTTCCTCCTCTTCATCGTCGTAGATATCACCCCCTAAACTTCCGATATCATCTTCATCCGTATCAGAATCCGAATCGCTATCGTAACCATTATTATACCCGTTGCCGTTTATAACCAGCTGTGAATGATACGGACTGGCAAGACCTAGCGGATCTAGTTTTTCCAAAACAGCGGCGGCTTCGTGACTTCGGTTGAACCGAAAGTTCAGGAGCGCAGCAGGGAGGAGGAAGTGATCGCGGATTTCGGCGCGGTATAGTCTGTCTAGTAGGGTTGGGTGTTTTGAGACGATTCTAGAGGCGGAATGCGGGAGGGCGAGGCAGAGGTTGTCGAGGTCGGCTTTGTCATCTATCAGGGAGAGGATGTGGAGGAATATGTCGTAGGGGAGAGATTCGATATTTTTTCGGGCCATTTTATTGATTTGGTAGTTTTGAGTTTTTGATTTGTATAATGTATTTAATATGCATGCGATATCCTATAGATGGTGGTACCGGCCCTGGGTTGACGATGAATGCATGAACGTTGCTGAAGGAGAGTTTAGTTGACTTTTTTGATAAATTTTAGGGATGAAAATTCTCGCCACCGTTTGATTTGATTGAAGCAGTAAACCAAACTGGGATGGTAAGTTTCTTATAAATCCATATCCATGCTGCAACGTTTTAAACGGTGAAGCTATATTTGATGCCGAAGGATCTAGTTAGCGAGTTGATGCGTGGGTGCGTGCGAGCTAAGCGCAAACTAGGCCGCTTGGTTGGTTAGGCTTCCGCTGGGTGCCTGCATATGCTCGCCTCGTTGAACAAAGATAACGATATGTATTCCGATGCGACGTCTGGGACCCAATCAAGATACCGGCATGGAACCTGTGCGAGTGGGAATATTCGAATTGGATATTATAGCTGATGGTTGTTGATATATCTCGTGGCCGTGGTCAACATGGTTTCGTCCCTTCGAGCTGCGCATTTGGTCGGTCGGGAACGCGGCGAATGAATGGCTTGGCTCGTTCCTGCCTGCCCGCCTTCCACACAAACCAACCTCCCCTCCAAATAGCTCTCGACTTTGAACACCCACGACACTCCCTCGAGACACAGCTCTCTCCCCTCGCCCTTACCTCCTTCTCATACACCCGTAAACCGCCATCACCAAACGTTCATACAAGCCCCACGGTACGAAGCACAAACATCACAGATGAACGGCCAACCATCATCCAGCCGCGCCCCGTCTTCCCATCCGCAATCTGTCGACGAGGTCATCGCAGACATAAATACCGCAATCGACAAGTTGACCGATAAATTCAACACCGCCTCGCAAGAGTTCTTCGGACGGCGTACGTTTCCTCGCATCTCGTATACCCATCGTCATTATTGGCTTCAAAGCTACCTCTAGGAGATGATCGACTGACTTACTTTACTTAATGAATATAGTAGATGAAATCTCCACCCGGCTCGATGTACTCGAACAGTCGATCCTAGCGTCACACACCACTAGCGAAGTCGGGGAGGAAAACGGCGAGAAAAAGGAGAACGGGAGTGATGTTGCGGGAGGAGACAAGGAGTGAAGTTCAACATTATTTAGCGATGATGGGATAGATATAGTCGGGCCTACGGTCGAGTACGTCACATGTTAGAGGAAATCGTTTTGGGAAGATAAGGGTTCCTAGTGGGGAAGGAACGTTTTGTATGTCGGAATACCAGATCAGAGCAGGAGTTTTGAAGGCATAGCGTTGGCGTTATTTTCACTTGTTTGAAGCTTAAACCTCTTCTTTGCTTGTTACTTTCAAGCTCTAAGCTTACTCTCATCTATGGGTACTGAAGTATTTGAGGATTGCATGGCCTCTGGGGCAATCTAAGTCTCTAAGACCTGCCAAGTTACTTGAGCTTAACAAAGATTATCATTTTCATTTCCTATCGAGTAATATACCGATTTCAAAAATACACATTTGAACAAAATGCGATGGTGGAAGCAATCACAAAATTGTTCGTAACTTTTCTCTTATTGTCTTCTTTACAATTCGTCCTTCTTAGGAGCCTCCTCCTCAACACTCTTGGCCTCCTCCTTATCATCAGGAGTGCTCTGGAACCTCTTCAAGATGTTCTGCTTGATAGTAAGTTCGTCCACCTTGTCGAGATTCACCTTACCACCAGCAATCATCTTACCCAATCTCGCCAACTCGTCAGTAATATAAGTGCTGCTCTTCGCTGCAAACTTCTTCGCAACATTAAGATAAACCTTAGCATGCTTCTCTTGTGTCTTCTCCAACTTGCTGAGGGCACCCTCAATCTCGGCCAAAATACTGGCACCACCGCTGGGCAAGTGCTCCTTGATGATATCATCCAAGATCTCGATCGTGCCGGCGTCCGCACCCAATTGACCACCGGGCTTGCGATGAGTGCTGGACATCTGGTTCATCCATTCCATGATGGAATCCTGGTCACGTGGACCTTCGTAGTCAATCGCACCGGTGATTTCCGGGCTATCGTCTGCTGCGAAGAACTTGAGCGTGGGGAAGCTCTTGATGGCGTGCTTGTCGCAGGATTCCTTGCCAGAGGGGATATCGCAGTCGATTTCGGCGATGGTCACACGAGGTTCACGGGAGAAATCCGATGCGATCTTTTCGTAGATTGGTGCCAGGCTCTTGCAGTCTACACATAACCGGGATAAGTTAACTCAATCATTCGAAAGCCGGTGATGAATGAGAGGGGACAGGGAAAAGACATACGTCCGCACCATGGAGCGTAAAACTTGACCAAAACATTCTTGGAGGGATCACCAGTGATACTGCCGAAGTTGGCATCGGTGAGGACCTTGACGAACTTTTCGGGTTCTTTTTTGGAACCCTTTGGTTTAATGCCGGACTTGTCGGTCACGTATTTCGTCATGGCCTCCAGCGTCCTTCCGCTATCATAATCGATCGGTTTATCAGATTTGCCATCGAACCATTTGAGGGTTGGGTATCCCTTGATTCCAAAACGTTGAGCGAGAGCCTTATGGGCTGTTTTATCAATAGACGTCAATAATTAGTAATTGTGTCTTGTAGATGTGAGGAAATGGTCGTTTCGTACCGTCACCGTCAACCTTTGCAATGGTAACCTTGTCCTTAACAGAGGTAAAGGCAGTTCCTAGCTCGTCGTAAGCTGGCGCGAGCTTTTTGCAATCTGTAAATCCCACAAGGTGGTTAACATTCTACAAATTCCAACCTTCATCATGTCACGCGAGTGAACAGGCTAAGTGGTAAAACTCA